GACTCGAGTATCTCACGAAAATGCTAAGATTGCAAGTTTTCTTGGATGTTCGCGGTGTTAAAATATCACAGCGAAGCCGAGTTGGAGGCGAAATATTTTGCGCCAGGCGTGAAAAAAACCGCATCTTTGCAAGGGCTGCATTTCAGTCTTTGTAATTCTTCCATATTTCAGTTAGATGAGATCTCTCGTCCGCCTCGCCTGCCATCGGTACCAGCGTCGCCGGCTACCAGCTCCGATTTCCTGGATCGGTGGCCGTCGCTCAATCACCAGCCGCGCAGCTCTTTTCAGAGGTAAGTAAAAAGCTCAAGGGGAACACAGTAGAATCGAAACATCGAGTCCTTGGTTTTTATAATTATCGGTATTGGATTGTGGCGGAAGAATTTTGGAAGGAGTGGACATTTTTGAAATAATAGCTATCTAGGAGAGAATTTGCTACTTCGATTTCCACCTCGACGAAGTGGCTATCGTATAATGGGAGCAACTAGTTAACTCGTCTGAGAGGATAACTTCCTGACTGTGTTCCTACAAGCATTTTCTGGGCCACATTCGCTTTCAATTGCCTGTACGCTTTAGAGTGGAAGACGAGTGCGTGGCGAATCCGTGAAAGAATTGATCAACTCTGAGAACTTCACACTTTTTCCTTTGTTTTCTGACGTACGGCTTTTAAATAACTAATACTATATGACTATTACTACCAATATTTATAATTAATCATAATCGATGGCTATTAAAGGACGACTGGAGTTGGCATCGAAATCCAGCAGCAGCGATTCGATCCGGTGGAACCAATAAGCAGACACCGGTCTGGAAATATTTTGTCTATAATAAAGCTGAAAATCTGAGCAGGTCAGTGAACAACTGCAATTTAAAATTGTACATTAGTTTAACAGGGTGTCTAATTCGCTACGAAGCTCGTTGGGTCTCAATGCGCGTGAGTGGGACTTACAGGTCGGCGGCGCGCGCGGTTGCGTAGCGGTCCGATGAAAAATCTGCCAAATCGTGTTTGTTCTTAACGTTATGGGAAGATAGGAGAATTCGATTTACTTCCTGCGAACCGTCGCGCTGATACGAAAAACTCTGGAGTGATAAGGCATGCATTAGGTACAAAATGACTGCATCAATCAATATGCCTTTTTTCTACCTTCGGGGATTCTCCGGTGCTTTTGGAACTCTGAGTATGTACGCGGCGTTAGACGGTGATGGTGGGTAATAATTGCTACCTTAAAATCTTTTCTATTCCATAGTTCCTCAAGCGGCGAATCCGGCATGCTCTTCAGCGCAATGCAGCCCTTTCGCGACCGCACGCTGCAGTTATCTGAGATCACATCAAGTCTTGGAAAGTGAAATGACTGACATGGGAATCAAGCAAATAAATCAGTTGGCCTTCTCGAAAGTTACGCCGTCTAACGTTAGGAAGTAGGAAATATTTCCATCAACTCAGTAAAGTAAAATCAATCGATAGATGATCCATCAGTTGTATGATGGCTTCACAAGTCTCATTCACCCCCATTTAGTGGTATCGACGCTGTCCAAAAATTCCATAGAGCTAATTCAACCTGGAACGATTGCAGGTGTATAATCGGTGACTGTACATACAGCTTGAAAGGACCGCACACAAGCACGTTGGCCTGCCATCTGAAGAAACATTCGGCCGAATACGCCGAATTTCAGAAACTGAAGGTCAGTCAAACAGATTGCGTGATAGATTTCCGAATACTTTAACTCTATACCAGTAGCACAGATTTAGGATAAAAGGAGGCTGTAGAAAGTGCTACTGAACGGTAAGGGGTTGCTCACACTGGGCCATTTATGTAGAACATCGTGCCATCAACGAGGGCAATACATCAACCGATGCCCGGCTCGACACAGTTCAATCATGGTCAAACCCGGTTTACGGACTACTTGATTTTTCCTCAATGGTCCTGCCGCGATGGCTAGAGCACAGACGATTAGAGAACGGGTGAATGCCCTAGGACTAAGCCTTGGAGAGGAGAGGGACCCGCGAGAGAGCGCAGAGGCGGTTTAAAGGGCTGAGTTCAAGTAGTCCGTCGACCGCTCAACTTCGCGCAGTCAATATAAGGAACAAACGGGGCCCAATTTCGAAAGCGCTCAACTGTACCTGGGGGGGGGGGGAGTCCGAAACGATTCTCCAAATACTGTGTGAAGAGTAGAACTC